TCTACACTCCAGTCAATGAGTAATCAATTACTAAATTAGTTGACAATTATTTCAATAATCGATTAATCACAATTAATTGTTTCATCCCTAGTCAGATTTTCTCCTTAAATAGTGTTTTAATAGCTGAAAGATGACCATCATAATTAATTGAAATAAAGGTTGGAAAAGACACCTTTGGAAACTGGTCTCTGTTTATTGTTAAGGGATATATTACTGTTAAAAAGGATCATAATCACTACAAATAAATAAATTAATGTCACATATGAAGGATTGAAGATGTTTTTGGTACATTTCTCTGGATTTAGATTTATTTAGAGTCAGTGTTAAATGTTACCCCTGAATCAATGGAAAATTAGGGAAAACGTTTATAATTATTCAAAAATAATGGGCAATTAAGAAAGAATAACAGAAAACAACCAATTATGGAAAAAAATACTTTTATCATGAAGGAATAAATGTTCAAAGCAAAGATTAGATTCTAAGACTAATAACAAGTTGGTGAAACAGAACTAAAAAGGAAGCTGAATAAACTGTTTAGTAACATTTCAAAGTGCCAGCTTTCACATCAGAAATGCCGCTGTAGAACTGAGAATGCCTAGCCTTCATCTGAGACGACTGTTCGTCTACCTCGATCCAAGGCCCTGCTTTCATTGCCTTAACAGAGGGGCTGGATTTAGAGCTGTCTCTACACAACCTATTGATTATAGTTTTGTCTGAGACTCAGCTCAAGAAAAGGTGCCTTCATCAGGGACACCTCTGCCAATATCACAGATATGAACTGTAACCTTATTTAAACATAACCTTTAAAAATAAAAGTAAAGGCTATATCACTTCCTATGCTTATATCCTCAAGAATACCATGTAGTTCTGGATCAAACTTTTGCACAATTGTATAATTTTATCAGGTTTTACAAGATTTTATTTTTATTGGTGTACAATTGTAATGTTCTATATGTGATGGAAACATGCTATTTTGTCATTTGTACAGTATATGCATATGTTCATGTATATATATGACAATTTTCTGCAGAAACAAGCGTGGTCTGGCCATAAGAGAGAGTGTAGGTGTCTGCGCCGTCTCCTACCCAGACATCCTACTGACTCAGTTCGTCTGGCAGCAAGACTCATATTTGCCCTGGTATGTTTCTAGAAATACTCCTTGTTATTTTTAATCAGATAATATGTGCAAAGCAGGTTTTTAATGACTGTGAATATTTCTACATTTCCTTGTTTTTACTCTAAGAACTTCATGTTTTGTTCTGATATTGCAGACCTTGAAAATTGTAATGATGTTTTTCATTTGCATTTGTGAAATCATTTGTTATTAAAATATTATAATAAAACACGAGAAAATCTTAATAAATGCAGTGCACTAAAGCTGTATGAATGCGTGGAGAACATCACTAATTCTTCTCTCCTATTAAGTTAAATCCTCCTATGAACATCAGTAATGAGCTCTACACTTTAGAGGAACATGAATCACGTAAGTAGCTCATGTAAAACTTTTTTCACAGTTCATGCCTTTTATACTGATAGGTTTCCTTTGAAGTAATTTTTCTTTCCTTGTGACCCAACTTATGGATATCTGAAATGAGGCTGTTATTTACTTGATGTTAAATACAAAAAAGTCATGAAATAGGGTTGATATTCTGCCATTTAATAAGAGTCCACTAGGCTTAATAGTGATTAGATGGAGTGATGGATGCCAAGATAAATTTATGAATGTGTTAATAAATGTTTTGCTTTTTGCAGACTTGAATTCCATGTCTGAGGAGAAGAAGGAAGGTCTCTCTCAGCTGGCATCTATGTTGGATCTGTATTTACAACAGGAGGATTCTGACCGGACGCAGGAAATTACATCTTCCTGTCAGGATCCCCTTAGCCTCATTGCAAAGGTAATAATAATAATAAATTTGATTTATACTGCACTTTTCATCAAAAATACCTCAAAGTACTACAAAAAAGAAAAGCATTAAAAAAGAAATACATAAAAAAAAAATAAAAAAAATAATAATGACAAAAAAAATTTAGAATAATACAAAAGCTGTTTTAAAAGAGAGAAGGAAAAATTTTTTTTTAAAGGGGACCAAAGTTTTGGTAAAAAGAAATGTTTTAAGGCCTTTTTTAAAACATTCAGTGGATTGAGATGCCCTCAAGGTGTCAGGGAGGGCATTCCACAGACTTGAGGCAGCAGCACAAAATGCTCTATCTCTCATTGTCTGGAGTGTGGTTCTGGGAATGTGGAGCATGTTTGAGTGAGCGTAATGAAGGTAGCGGGTTGTGTTTGTGGGTTGATAAGTTCTTTAAGGTAGGGGGGGGCATGTCCATAGATGCATTGATGTGTGAGGAGGGAAACCTTGTATTCAATCCTGGTGGAGATGGGAAGCCAGTGTAGTGAAGGGAGAATAGGGGTAATGTGCTCATGTTTCCATACTCTCATCAGGATCCTAGCTGCAGAGTTTTGAATGTACTGAAGCCTCTGCAGACTCTTTTTAGGGATCCCAATGAGAAGTGCATTGCAATAGTCAAGTCTGGAGGAGACAAAGGCATGGACGAGCTTGAACCAAGGTTGGCTAAATGGCTAAATTAACAGCAATTTAAAAACACACAAACACTAACCGAAACATGTGTTTAACCCCATAAAGAAACAGAAACACACAATTTTCCTTTTGTTAAGTCTCCATTCCTTAGGCTTGCTATTCCACTGAGTCTGGAATCATATATCTGTATCTATGAATTTCCACAGCAGATCTTGTTAATTCAAAACATACAAACCACTTCTGGGATCTAAACTTCGGTGTGAAAAGATGCTTATTTGCATTTTGTGCTCTCTAAGTATTGTGTGTCTTTCTGTTTTGTCATTCTAAAAAGTGCAGGTGCATTTTGTCTGCTAGTGCACAGAAATTGAAAATGTCTCATTCTGGCTGGTAGATTTCCTTGGCCCAATATTTTGACAGTTTAATTAAACTGCAGAATCATATCCTATCATCTTTTACGCAGACTTTGCTCAGGGACATCAACCGTTTTCCAGGTTTATGTATGTTCATTAAGGCCTAAAACATTAGTTTCTCATATGACCCCCCAAAGCCTTCTTTGAGTTATTAAATATGTGGAGCCGTTTTATCATAAGTTTCTCATGAATGAATGTAGAAGTGGATAAAAAAGAATGAGCACCTCTCAGCAATGAGTTCTATAGTTGCTACTCTATTGATCTGCACAGAGGCTCATGGCTTCTAGACTTTGTTAAACCTCAAAAGCCCAGGAAAGAATCAGGAAACTACAGATTTACATTTCCTGAACTAGAAAACCTAGTTTCTGGATTATATCACTCATTTTACTGCAGCCAGATCCATTTGTTAAAACAAGTCAGGAAACCTTAAATCACGCAAAAACTTTATGTAAAGGGCTACATTTCTCACACTTGGTCGAGGTTATAATACGAAAACCTGAACTAAGTTTAATTCAAAGTGCTCTTATTGAATCAACCAGAATGTAGTATAGATTTGTATCAAAATAACTTTCTCATAGTGTCTACAAATTAACATGTTTGTGTTTCATTCAGACAAACAAAGTCTTTGTGCTTTAACCAATGCTGCATTCTTATATGTGCAACCAGAAAATGTGAATTTTGACAAAAAAAAAAACATTTAACATTTTAAATCCTTAACTAGGGTTGTTTTGATTTTACATTAAGAAGGACTAATTGGCCAAAATCAAAATTGGTATTTCATAGATCGCCAACAGGGGGCAGTGTTACAGCATGGGCAATATAATTTATTTACCTTGCAAAAAAGCAATTAAATGTGTTCCTGTTTGTTTTTTTAGTTTTTTTAGTATGTCTCTGTCTGTAGACTCCTTGTTGTAGTTGCAATATTTTATGCATCTTCCCTTATTATTTCCCTCTGCACACTCAACCCTATTTGTTTGCCCCCCTTCTCTTTACATTAGTAATGATGACTTTAAATTAAATCTGCTGAGAATATTCAGCAAGCTTAACAAAATAGGCCATTACTGTATGTTGTTCATGTTTGTAGCTCTCTGTGTGTTGAGCTGCTCCTGTAGGAGGCTTTTTATTTGTCAAAAAGGGGGGAAAAAACAACACAAAACACAGTCATTCTTTTTATTATTTCCTCCTCTCTAGTCCTAATAGTCCTATATAAACAGATCTAGTATATGGATGCAAAATAAAGCTACACCTTTGTATTTACTGTTTTGAATGCACCCATTGGGGAGTAGAGATACTGTGTAAGGCTGGATTATAAAATAGATATACATAGAAAAAAAGGTACAAATGGAAAATAAATAATGATTTATCTGTTCTAAAGGGAATATTGAATTGATTCCATGTTCAGTGTGCAGTCTTACAATTTCTGCAATTATAAAATCTGCATGTGCTGAGCTACGTCATTACAGTTGATTTAGGAGAATAAGTCATCCAGAAAGACTGCTGTGCATGCATTTGTGCTCATCTACTCACTTGTTGTAATATGCCTAGACAAATTATATCTGCCCTATGCAAATATTAATGCTTCATATAAAAAAAAAAAAAAAAAAAAAAATATATATATATATATATATATATATATATATATATATAAATACATACATACATAGTATAAATATAAAATTGTGTATGATCCATTCTGTTCGGGTCGTATCGGGTTAGTATTGGAATCAGTCAATACCAAAAAATACAATTTTGGTATCATATCGAAATGAAAAGTTTGTATTACAACAACCCTATTTAAAAGTACAATTAACAAATCCTTTATAATCACACTGCTTCTATAGAAAACACTTCAGAGAGGGTTTAAGATAAACAACACATAAAGAGAAACACAGAAGCAAAATCTAAAAAGGAAAAAAATATCTTGATCTCAGCACACGCATAAATTAGTTATTTTAGTAGCTAGCATTATTTGCATTGTACCCCTGCTTCATCTACAAAACTAGGTAATAGAAAACATTTAGCATATGATTTAAGTAAAGTGTTATTACTTCCTTCTTCCTGTAGTGGTTCAGAGTCTAAATTGAGCCTGATCACATGATTTAAGGGAGAGCTTTAACAGGCGAAGGCAGGGTAATAATAAACACTTTCTTGAAACAGATTCTGTGGGTTTCATTAAAGTTTTTAGATGCATCAAGATGTGAACATGGAAGATTGTGATTGAATAAACAAATCCAAAACTTTATCATCTTAAAGTTTAATTAGTAGTTAATTTTGAGGAATGTACCACTAAGAAGTGCATAAGAGTTTCTCCTATACAGTTTATGGCGAACACTAAACCAGGTCTCATGCACTGCAGACAGTAACCTATAAACACCAAAATGGAAACTATTTGGAAAACAACCAAACCACAAGCAGAGTGTGTAAAAAGAAGCTGAGATATATTATGCTATTATATATTAGGACTTTACAAACATTATATTATACATTATATTACTATACATTTATACAATACCTGCTTTAAGAACCAAGGAAGCAAGTTTAGAGCTGGTTACAAACTTCATTGTAATTTTTTATAGTTTTTAATTTAACTCTTCCTACATTTTGTTGATTTACTTTGGAGTGATATGGACTCATTTGTAGAGCAGGGATCAGGAAGATTGTTTGCACTAACGACTATAGGAAGGAGAAGGGGTATAATTAGATAAGTTTGACTACTCCATACCCCTTTGTACAATTAACTTAATGATACATATAAATTATTATATTTTTGTCTGGAATACATTTAAAATTTCTTATAATCCATTCAGTCATACCAAAGCCTTCTCAATTCTAATCTAGCCATGAGTGCCTTATTCCCACCCCATGCCCATATTTTTCATAACATCTGTATATGAGATTTGCTTGGACTTGCTGGACAAGCACCATCCATTTTATCTTTCCACTTTTAGCCCAGCTGAGCAGCCACATTCAATATCCAGAGGTTAATTATTGGCTCTTAGAAACCAGCAGAGATGCTGTCTGCCATCTTTAAATGGGTCGCCCTTGTCCTTGAGATGTACATGAAGTGCTAGTTCATGACCTGATTGGATTGCTGTTCTGTGTTCGACCATCCATTATGCTTCAGGCTGGGTGATTGCACAAATGTATTGGCTATCAACAACAGATTGAGCACACCTACTGATGTTTAATGGGTCCTACAAAGGAACCTTTTCATTAAGTATAGCACTTGTTTGAAGCAAAAAGATGCATTCCTATGGTGTGGCTGATAATTTTTGGTATGTAAAGATATCTTTGTGAAACCAATGGGAAATGTTTTTAGTGAATTTTCTAACAATCATTAGATATTCTCCATTGTTGACTTCCTCACTGAGTTACCTGTAATGGCTCAGAAAGTAGGACCCAGAATTCAGGCAAGACAGACAATTGCCGAACATTACCCAATAAGCATTTATACAGACAATGACTGAACCAATCTGCAGTGGCGGCGGCTGCAGTGGCTAGGGCGTCTGAAGCAGGAAGACAGATTAGTGATCAAGATAATCTGACTGAAGATGATTATGAACATGTAAGTCACTAACCTGGTTTGACAATTCAGTCCGTGCCCAAAGAAAGAGGATGATTCCAGCAAGTTGGCTGACAAGACGCAGCAGACCCTGTCAGTGAGTTCCAGATGCAGAATCCTAGAAGTCTGCAGAGCTGACACAAGATCATATCCCAGCAGACAAAAGAATGCAGGATAATCCACAGGGCGAAGTCAAGAGGCAGATCCAGATTTAGTCCACTGAGGAATCCAACAGGAGCCCGAAGACAGGCCAGGCCAACCGATCAGTCAGGGGCAGGCAGGCTCAAAAGTCCAAATACAGAAACGGATCAGGATCAGGCAATCAAACACTATAGAAATGCTAGAGAACTCTTAACATCAAAGGGTCAAGAATAAGTACTGAT